TAAAGAAAGAGGAAAAACAGAAATAGCAAGCTTCAAAATTACGAACGTCACACACTTTTTTCTCAATTGCTATTACAAATGGCGGCTTCTCAACCGGTCAGATCTGTTCTAATTGGTTCATGAGAAATCCCTCAAGGTTTCGAGGATAATCGTAACAATACGTTTAAAATATTTGAAACTTACTATTGAATAAGGTTTTTTGTTGAAACCTAAGAAGTTTATATTTAGCTACGATCTATTCTGGCACGAAAAATTGTAGTTGAAGAGGTAAGTTTATGAAAAGGCATTGAGGAGTGGCAACACTGTAGTAAGCAATACTGAGGGCTCCAGTAATCGACAAAATTCTGCGTATACGGACTGCGTTTAAGTATACGTTCTGCGTTTCAACTTTGCTCGCAAGTTTAAATACACACAAGTCTAGACTAAGAGCGATTTCACAATACTCGGTATGATATCGGATCGAAATTTTTGGTTTTTACCGAAAGTATACCGAAAGTTAGCCGACCTCATGTATTTCAATTGGCATTTTCACTTTAGTGTCGCATACATGAAATCGGAGCGGACTGATTTCGGCATACCGCACTGCAGTAAGACAGGTCAGTAAAATCTGAAAATTTACTGCACCAAAGAACGTAAATCTATAAGAAGGGAGAACACGTTATAATTGTAGCGAGTGTGAACATCAGGAGCGCCTTCTATTTTGCCCAAATACGTTTTTAGATTGGATGAAAAGAGAAGGCACGCTCTTGATGTTCACACTCGCTACAATTATAACGTGTTGTCTCTTCTTATAGATTTACGTTCTTTGACTGAACACAACTTTGCGGCGTACAAAACCCACAAGGAGAAAGTACGAAGTAAATCAATGAAAATAAATATAACAAGCTATCCTTGTCTTCGCCAGAGGATATTTGTACAACGCTTTAATCAACTTTCAATGTTGCATGTCCTGACGCCTTTGCTGCTATAATTATAGATTATAATCAAAGTTCCTATACAAAATTCTAGACATCAACTTACCTCGTCGGTAGGCATATCAAAGACCATACAGTAGACACGAGAGGTAGATGTCGCCATGCCGGAAGTAGCTAAAAATTGTGCTTAAAAATATGCACTACATACACTATGGCGGAAATGGAATACACGCCATTTCTTTAAATGAGATTAATTGGTGCTCGTATGTATGTATGTACATATTGTCATATATGCATGTGCGTATGTTGAAAGAGAATGTAAATAAAGTCTGATAAAATACAATACTTATGTATCAGAATTTTATTGAATTATTGATTTCTATACATCTTTGGTTTCGGTAGTAGTAAAATTTGCGAAGATGTAACACATAGCCCAGCAAAAAATTTCGAAGGGCTAGACAGAGACGAAAACGTGGTGTTTGTCTCAGTGGGTGAATTTGGTGGAGTGACTTGAGAACCACTTGGGGTACGGGGGGCCCATTTGGTATACAGTTTAGGAGAAGTTGGTAACAGGGCTTTGGGGACCAGTTAGTATATAGTCTGAGACCCGTTAGGGCCCAGTTGAGAAGCAGTATCCGCTGAAACTTACTGGTTGGTACCTGGCCGGTTAGAAGATTGGGCTGGAGGTGCGGGCTGACAAACCTGATCGTCCTCTTTCGCCGTAGCTCTCGCTGCTTCTTTGGAGCAGGAGTTTGGGGTGTTAATTGCCCGCTCTTCCGCTTTGCAGTGGGTGCGGTCTCGGCGAAACCTCTAACCCTTTTCCCCTCGTATCCGTGGTTCTCATCTCGTCGATACTGCCCGCGCTTCCGCTTTTCAGCGGGTGCGGTCTCGCCAGCGCGACTATCGTACCTTGTGCCTGAATCACGGGGTTGCTCATCGCGCCGCTTTTCAGCGGGCTTGGGTTCGCTCCCGCCGCATGGATTCTCGCTATGTTGTTTAGCCGGACTGGCTTGGAGACCTGTCGCGCTCGCGTGAAGATTCGCTGTGGTGTCTACCTCCGTGCCTTTTGTCCACATCGGTGTCTATCAACGCCCTTACGTCGAATATACCACTACTCGCGGAGGACTCATCGTCTTCTCTCTCGTAGTCAATGAAAGCACTGCCTCGGCATCAGAGAGGCCATCCAAGAAGTTCTTCCTCCGACCCTCTTTCTTTTTGCCTTTCTTTGTTATATTTGTTTCATTTTTGTTTCTTTTGTTGTCTTCATATTTTCCTTACGACCGCGTGCCTGACCTGCCAGTCGTAGCAGTCTACAAATCGGCCCTTGTCGCGGTAAGGCCACCGTTACTCCTCGAGGCGGCCCGGTGTCGAGAAGGCGCCGTTAAAATACAGCCGGTTTAACCTCCTGGCAGCAAACCGCCCAATAGGCACGGTGTCGCGTTACACCCTGGATTAGGAGGCTGCAGTTCCTGGTAACTGTTCGCCAGCAGCCCTAGCTGGAAAAGAAGGGAAGGTTTAAATGGAGATTCAGCTAAGCACCCGCACCAACGACAAGGTGCCTCAGGACAGCGACGGGATGCCTCTTGATGTCGCCTGAACACCACCTGCACGGCGAGGCGCAAATGCTCCCGGTAAAGGAGCATAATATAATGCTCTGCAAGCAGTTCCTGATCGGGAGCCACAGAAGTGGCCACCCAAGCAGACAGCTGCTTGCAGAGGAGCCCTCGCCTAGGCACGTCAGGAGGCATCTATATGAACTAACGGACGTAGTCCAGAGGTTCATTAAGCAACCTCTGGACCCGACAGCTTACAGACGGGCCCTGAACGGCATTCACAGGGACTCAGTCTCGAGCTATGTAGACTCTAGACCTGTGAATGCCGTTCTAGGCACACCACCCCCGGACATAGACGAGACGGAGCTTCATCTGCCTCGGGAGACACGCACTACACTCGCACAACTTCGCTCCGGCTACTGCAGCGGGTTAAACTCCTACTTGAGTAGGTTGAATGAGGATGTGCCGAACGAATGTCCGGCATGCGGAGAGACCCCACATGACTCGAAACATCTCTTCGCATGCCCGGAAAACCCGACAACCCCAACGGCCTTGTCCCTATGGGCAAACCCCGCAGAAGCTGCACGCTTCCTAGGGTTGCCGTTAGTGGAACTTGACGACAACGACTGAGATACCAACCGATCTGGGCGGGGTTGTTGTAGCCGCTACAACAACAACAACAACAACAAGGTGCCTGCCCTCGCGTGGGCTCATGTGGGTAACTTTCTGTCTTAACATATCCCTTTCAAAATGACATCAAGCCAATCAGATCGATCTGTACCCAATGTAAATGACGCCGTAAGTGCGCCTTAAGTCAAAAATAGCACAGTTTGTTTACTGGATATACTGAGCTTGAGCGGAACGCACTCATGAACCAAAAATGCAAAATCAGGCAAGAACGCCACGTTGTATCTGTAACTGGTTTTGAGAAAAAAGTTTGCGAAAGCTGGTTCGTCAGCTGAGCATTTGTTTACATCACAAGCACCACCATTTTAAACTTTCCTTTAACTAAAGAAGATTTAATTGAACATGACAACAAGCTTTTTAATGAATCATTTAAGCCAAACTGTGCGTTTAAAATGTATAAGAATAATTTTGGTTAATTTTGGTTTTCGTTGTTTTCTTTGCTTTGTTTACTTTCCTTTCGTTTACCAGCGAAACAAGATGGCGTAGAACCCGCTAAAAAATCGATTCTTTTATTCTCTGGCGTGATCTTGTGTCGTTCGTTCATGAAACGCACATAACGTGCTCTATCTGGCAGGGTTATTAGTCGAACCAACCTAATGCTAAAAACATTGCGATCAGCTGTTTTGATAACAATTTATTGAATTTAGTAGCCGGTCAATAAAATAAATTAACAAGGACTGAGGACAGGAGTGGTCGTCTGTTTTTAGATGACGAATACCATAAGTTACTTTCTAGCACCAAAGGCCAGCCCTGTTGGTATGTGTTAAAATATCGATTGATACAAGACAACCCAAAACAATGTCATCCACTGCCACATGTACACTTTCCATAACGGTGTTATTGATTGTTGCTTCATTGATTGAGGCTACAATATCACCCAGGAAAGGACGCGTTGAGAAGACTAAAGCAATTAAACCATTAAACGTGCTGGCTGGACCACACGATAAATCTGTTTTCGAACGAAACCTGATTGATGTGCGTCCTTTACCACAAGAAATTCTGGAACACAATGCAGCATATTACAAGGACACAACATTACGGAATTTCAACGACACTGTGCTTGGCTATGTAACAGCGGTAAATATTAGTTGCGTTCTAGATGCTTCACGATTTGCAGGAAAAACTGTTTTCTCCATTAATAAACCTTATGGAAGGTGGTTAACCGCCCAGATCGGTTAATATCTCAGTCGTTGTCGTCAAGTTCCACTAACGGCAGCCCTAAGAAGCGTGCAGCCTCAATAGGGTTGGTCCACAGGGACAAAGCGTTAGGGTTGTTGGGTTTTCCGGGCATACGAAGAGATGCTTCGAGTCATCAGGTGTATCTCCGCATGCCGGACACTCATTCGGCACATCTGCGTTTAGTCTGCTCAGGTATGAGTTTAACCTGCTGCAGTAGCCAGAGGGAAGTTGGGCTATTGTGGAAGGTTGTCACCTGGAACGGCTTCCTGTAAAAACCTGCAAATCGTGAAGCATCTGGAACCCAACCATTTTAAGCATATGCATAGATAATTTATAATTACGCTAGTCTATCTTTGCAGTGGAACTCGCATGGCTATGATGTGGCAAAGTGGTTTGCGCGAAAATTCGATATCGTCTCGCCGGTGTGGTTTCAAATTATCAAAAATGGTGATGAATATAAATTAGCCGGCACGCACGATATTGATACGAATTGGATGCGAGAAGTGCGCCGGAAAGGTAAAAATGAACGTGGCACTACAGTGAAAAGTAGGTATTTTAATGGTAACCCTTTAAAAAGCTTATATATATGTAAATATATTGATTATATACAGTTTTTCCGCGTTTCATTTTTGATAAATTCACCGAACGCGATTTTTCGCGTTTACTGAGTTTGGAAAGTGAGAGGATGCAGCTAAACGAAATGTTGGTAAATGCTTGCAAGAAATATGAATTTGATGGCATAGTTATAGAGTTTTGGACGCAACTAGGAGGGCGAGTAGACGACCAATTTCTCATAACATTGGTGCAACAATTGCGTAAATTATATAAAGTTAAGTACAGATTTTTTACCTTTTATAATTAATGTCATTTTAGATGATGCACTTAAAAAGGAAAATTTACGTTTAATCCTTGTGATACCCCCATATCGGCAAGAAGTTCCGAACTTTTTCACAGAAAGGCATTTTAATCAACTGTACAAGCATGTGTATGCATTTTCTTTGATGACGTACGACTACTCGAATGTGCAAAGACCAGGTATATGTACATACATATATATCGATTTATTAGATCTTTAACTTTTTATTGGGCGTTAATACTTTTAGGTGCAAACTCTCCATTATACTGGGTACGACAATCAGTCGAACTATTGGCGCCTGCTAAAAGTCATGATGCAAAAACGAAAAGACGCAAAATTCTATTAGGTCTCAACATGTATGGCAATGATTATACACCCGATGGTGGTGGCCCAATTGTAGCTGGACAATATTTGAAACTTTTGCAATATGCCAAA